GCTGCTCACTTGCAGGGCGCCCCCCGCTCCGAGCCGCGCCCGGCCCCCTCGCGCGCTGTGGCCCCGCCCATTGGTGCCAGCTTGTTCGCGCAGAGAGGGCTGGAGCCGCCGCGCGCGCTGTCCCGCGACGGGCGCGCCAGGGCCGCCGCGCGCGGCCGCCGTCCCTGCTCCTGGGGCGCGACGCCCCCGTGACCGTGTCCATGCAGAGCGGGCCCGTTGACTCGGGCGCTGTGTTCTCCTAAGCCGAGGTGGCCAGGGTCGCTGTGCGCGTGGTGGCCTTGCGCCCGCGCGCGCGGCGTTCTTTTCGAGCAGATTGGGCCGGGGCCGACGCGCGCGCGGCAGATCTGCGCCCCTGCGGACGTAGCTGTTCATTCAGGACTGGCCAAGGCCACGGGCGCCGCGCGCGCTGCGGCTCTGCCCCCTTGCCGCGCGCTGCGTTTTCTTCGCGCGCGCGTCGACCAGGGCCGCCGCGCGCGCGACCGCCACGCGCACGCAATGTTTCAACGCAGCACGGGCCAGGCCCGCCACGCGAGCGGCGGCCCCGCCCCTGCGCGCATTGGATTGCCTTGCCGTGCAGAACTGGCAAGAGCCACCGCGAGCGCGGCGGCGCAGCTTTCTGACGCGCTGCCGTGCTTTTAACCCAGAATTGGCCGGGGCTGTCGCGCGGGCGGCGGCCATGCCCGTTCGCGCGCTCGGGTGTTCCATTCGGGAAGGAGCAGGTCCGCCGGCCCCGCGGCGGCCTTGTCGGCCCCCTCGCGCATAGCGCTGGCCCGTTCAGAATGGGCCAGGGCCGCCGCGCGAGCGGCCGCCTTGCCCCTCTTCTCTTCCCCCCCGCCCTGCCCCATTGCGAGCGGCGGCGACGCCCCTGCGCGCGCGGTGTCCTGTCGCGCGCGATTGGCCAGGGGCGCCGCGCGCGCGGCGGCCGCGCCCCCCCCCCCCCTTCACTGCCGCACGGTTCCTCCATGCGGCAGTGAAGGGGGGGGGGGGAGCGCGGCAGCCCTGCCCATCGCGCGCTGCGTTTCAGCTCGCAGAATTGGGCGGGGCCGCCGCGGGCGCGGCGGCGGAGCCACCGCGCGCGTAGCGTGCTCTCTCTCCTTCAGAAGTGGCCAGCGTCGTCGCGCGCCGCGGCCCTGCCACTGCGCGCGTTGTGTCCCCCGCGCAGACCGGGCCAGCGATGCCGCGCGCTCGCTGGCCGCCGCCGCGGCGACACCGCCCCCCGCGCATTGGGCGCGTCGGCTTCGCCCCTTCGCTATCTGGTTTGCTTTGGTCGGAGTTGGCCAGGGCGCCGCGCGAGCGGCTTCCCTGGCCCCCCGCGTGCGTTGCCGCATCCTGTTCGCATGGGCAAGGGCCGCCATGGCGGCGGCCCAGACCCCTCGCGCGCGGCGTCGTTCCCTCCGCGATTCGCTTGAGCCGCCCCGCGCGCGGCGTTCCCGGCCCGCCGCGTGTTGTTTTTTGTCGCGCAGTATTGGGCAGCCCCCCCTGTACACCGCGCAAATGTGTTATTCCCCGCTCGCGGTGGGCGGGGGCTTCCGAGCCCGCGGCCTCCTTCGCGCGTCGCGCATTTTATTTCGACGCGCCGAATCGGCCAAGGTCGTCGCGCGCACGGCGCCCCGCCCCCTCGCGCATTGGTTCTCTCCCCCGCGCGGCCTCGGCCAGTGCCGCGGCGGCCCGCCAGGTCCCTTATCCATTGCGCATGCGGCCCAGGGCCATTGCGGCGGCCAGCGAGCCTGCTTCGCAAGCGCGGGGCAAGGGGCCCGGCGGCCGCCGCTCGCCCCCCGCCCCCCCCGCGCCCCGTCTCTGGAGGCTGGTGCTTGCGTCCTCGTTTCCTTGAAGCATTTTAGTTTCGCTCTCCAGGGTCTCTCATCGCATTGTTGTGTGTTCTCTCTGGGCCTTTTCCAGGCTCTGCGTATTTCCCACTGGCTCTCCCGCAGAACCCTCGCCTGCTCTCCTTCGCCAACCGAATGTTCATTATTTCGATTTCGTTGACCCCGCCCCGGATCTGTATATTTCCTGCGTGGGCGTGGCGCAGAATCCCCATCTTATCTATCAGTGCCCGCTGCAAAACTTGTTATTGCCTCGCCGAGGGGGCCAGTGTACTGCGACGCGGGAAATGCCGTCAGAGCAGCTCCTGGCGTCGCGTCAACTTGATTGCCGAGGCAAGCGCGCCGCGCAAGTTGATGTGGCATCTGCCTTCAAACTGCCTCGCGCGGACAGCAGGGCCCCTAGCTCGCGGGAAAGATGCAGACCCTCCGGGACTTACAACTTGGGGCTCGTTGGGGGCGCTTGGGGGTTCGTTGGGAGTCCTGGAGGGCTCTTGGGGCCGCCTAGGAAGCCGTCGAGCAAAGGGGGGTAGTCTTCGATTTGCTTCCACCCCCTGGGGGCCATCAAAGTAGCCTCATGGGGCCGTTTCGGGGCGCTCTTTGGCGTTCTTGGGGCCATCTGGGGTGCCTCGTGGGCCTCTCTTGGGCCCCTCTTTGGCATAGTTTGGGCCATCTTGGGGCCGTCTTGAGGCTTCAAAAGCACATTGGAAGCGAAAGGCCAGAAGTCAAAATAACTGATGTCCCTTTGGTGTTTGACTGATGTTGGCCTCTTGGGGGGGGGGTCCTGAGGGGGCTCCGAGAGCACTTGGAACCATTTTGCGGCCCCCGTCGAGCCTCTTAGAGACATGTCGGAATCTATATGGAACCACCGTCGGCTATCTTGAGCCATGGAAGCCGTCTTGAGCTTTCCTAGGGGCTATATTGAGCCGCCTTGGGCGCCCCCCCCCCCCCCAGTCCAGACCCAGGGAGGGGGGGGGGAGGTGCATCTCCCCGAAGGGAGGAGGGTTCCTGAAAGAGGAAAGGAAGAACTCGCTTGAGCACTTTATCCCAAAGGGCTGGTGCAATTTCCGGGACCACGTCCATACGTCTTGCTTGCGAGGCACGTGGCCGTTGAAGCGACTTCACCTGGACCTTCTGCGATCGCTTTACCGCGTCCTTCAGCGTCAAAATTGGAGCATTGCTAATCGGAGTGAGTGGGCCGATTGGTACTACACGGTCCTTGAGTGCGTGGCTGTAGTGGGGTTCTACGGCGCGGGCTGTCGTTCTTGTCGTTACTGTTGTTGCCGTCGCCCGCTTACGACCCACCTGCGACCCAACACCATATTGGATTGCTACTGTTAGCGACCGTTTACCCCAAACAGTGAGGTATTACATTTGGAGTTGGAATATGTACTGTGCAAGTTATGTGGTGTAAACTATGATGTGTCAGCTTTGCGGTGTGAGCTATGTGGTGCAATATGTACATTGGACATTATGCGGTGCAAATTATGATGTGCAAGCTATGTGGTGTGAGCTATATGGTGTTAGGTATGTGGTGTCCGCTATGTGAGGTAAGCTACGTTGTGCAAAATAAGTGGTGTCGGTTTTGTGGTGTGTCCCACGTTCTGCAACCAATGCTTATGCATATACACACATATATATATATATATATATATATATATATACCTATATATATATATATATATATATATATATATATATATATATATAAAATAAACGCTTGCGGTAGATAAGTCGGGGGTAGGAGATCAGGGGTGCGGAGAAGGCATGGCCGTAAAGAGATTGCATGGCAGTCGCTGTTGTGGCTCAGTCTCTTGAGGCTTGTCGCCCTGCGGGGCATGTCTGACCCTGGCTCCGGGCCACCGCCGCCCGCCTGGGGGCCCAGAGGCGGTCGCCTCACCTCCTGGGCCGCCGCCTGGCTGGCCCCCGCGGCCCCCTGGGCGCTACTGCGGGTGGTGCTCGGGGCGGCTGGGGCCCAACGAGTCGTTGGCCCTGGCCTTGAACGGCCAGCTCTGGGAGGTGTGCGAGCTGTGCTACCTCCTGGCGCTGGCGCGGCAGCACGCCTGGCGGGCCCGGCTGACGCCGGGCGAGCGCGCGGTGCTGCTGGAGCAGGCGCGCCACCTGACGGCCCTCCTGGCGGCGCTGGCTGGCCTGGCGGACGAAGGCGTCCGAGATGCCGCCCAAAGCAAAGGCCAAGGCGAAGGGCAAGGCCAAGGCGGCAGCTCGGGGCCTTGGCGTCGCGCGCGGCGGAGGACGGGCCCGCGGGCGCGGCCGCGGCGGTGGCCGAGGCGCAGCTGCGGCGGGCCGCGGACGCGGCCACGCCCAAGGGGGAGCGGGAGCCGCGGGAGGTGGCCTCGGCGCGGGACCTCCTGCGCTACCCCCCCTAGGCGCGGCTGCTCCCCCTGGCGGCGGAGGTGCTGCGCTGCTGCCTGGTGCCCCCCCGCTGGGGATCGCGGCTGGAGCGCTGCCAGGCCCGCCTGCCGCCGCGCCTGGAGGCGATGCGCCTGGGGCGCCGCCCGGCGCCGTGGCTGGGGTCGGCGCGGCCCTGGTGGGGGCCTTGGCCGCGCTTCCCGCTCCAGGGGGGGGGCCGCTGCCTGGCGCGCCGCCGGCGCCTGGGCCCTTCGCGCTGCCAGGGGCGGCTGCTGCTGGCGCTGGGGGCGGCGGCGCGGCGGCCGCCGCAGTGCCGGCGCCAATCGGCGGAGGCGCCGTGGCGCTGGAGCGTCTGGTGGGCGGCCCTTGGATGGGCTCGCCGGCCTTGCAGCACGGGGCCTTCGCAGCGGGGGCGGTGCTGGAGACGCCCGCGCGCGACCCGACGGGCCCGGTGGGCGGCGCGGCGCTCTTCGAGGTTGTGGAGGCGGGCGTGCCGGGCCCAGACGGGGCCTACCTCTCCGTGAACTTCCGGGGCGCCCCGCTCCCGGCCCGCGCCCTGGAGCTGGACCTGAGCTTCCCCGCCCCAGGCGCCGGGCAGCCAGGCAGGGGTCCTGCACCTCTGCGCGGGCGGCGCCGCTGCCTGCAGGGCCCCGCGGCTGGTCGGGCGCGGCGAGCGGCGCGCCGACTGGCTTCGCCTGAGGTCGGCTCGGAGCCTGGTCGAGCCCTGGGTTCGGCCGACCTTTCGACCGCCAGGCGGCGGTGGGCCCGGGGGCGGCGCCGCCGCTGCGCCCGCGCGGGGCCGTCTCGCAGGGGCTGCGGCTGGGTTCGCGGCGGCTGCGGCTGCTCTGGAGGCGGCCGGCTCGACAGCTCGCCCGCCGGCGGTCCGCCGCCGCCGTCGCGAGCAGTCGCGAAGCGACAGCGCAGAGCGGGCTGGCGGTGACCAGCTGGATTTTCGCGACGCCCCCTCCCGCGGCAACGCCATCCAGGCGGTGGCCGACGGGCGCCCAGGCACGCTGTGCGACGAAGCGATTGCCCAGATCGCGCGTGTCATGGGCCTGCGGGAGGGGGCGGACGGGCAGAGGGTTCGCCCTCGCATCAGGGGCTACCTCCAGGCCGTGGTGTTCGGCCACCACCCGATCCACTCGGTCGGGGAGCGGGCGGTGCGCGAGCTCCAGACGCTGGCGGCAGCGATGGACCTCCTCGAAGACGGGTCGCTGGCGTCGGTCGCGGACACGCTGATGCAGCGGTTCAAGGCGCTGGAGATGGCGCTGAACGACGGCAACTGGTACATCGCCAACGAGCTGGAGGTGGTCGAGGGGATCCGCCCGACGCTCGCCTCCCGCGACGAGCAGGAGTCGGCGCGGAGGTCGGCGATGCTGCGGCGGCGGCTGGAGGAGGTCCGCGCCAGAGGGGCAGCCCCCCGCCGCTGACCCGAGGAGGCGGCGGCTGCGGAGCCGCCCCGAGCGCCCTCGCCAGGGCGGAGCCGCGGGCGTGGGGGCGACCCCGCTCGCCGCCGTCGGCCCTTCATGGCGACGAGGCGTGGCGCTGCCCGCCCTGGAGGAGCTGCGGCGGCCGCGGGCCAGGCTGCCAGCGGGCTGGCGGATCCCGCAGCCGCTCGCGAGGCCTCGAGGTCCCCCGCCCGAGTGCCCTCCGACGCCGGGGGGCGGCCTTCCTCGCCGCTCCCGCCCAGGACGGCCCGCGGGGACAGCCCCCACCCTGGCGCTGCGGCGGCGCCGGGCCGCGCGGCGCTGCTGGGCGCTCCCGAAGTCCGCGCCTTCCGTCAGGACCAGCCAGCAGCGCAGGTCGGCGGAGAGGCTCCCCAGGGGGCGCGGCGGCAGCCCGAAGGGCAGGGGCAAGCACCGCGGGCGCCAAGCGCCGAGGGGGGGGCTGGGGGCTGCCAGGCCGCGGCAGGCCGGCGCCCTGGAAGGGCCGCGGCAAGGGCCGCTAGCACGGGAGGCTCGGGCGCGCTCAGCTGATGATGCACGTGAAGATGCGGGCCCTCTGGGCCCAGCTGGAGCTCGTGCTGACCGCATGGGCGAGCCAGGGCCGCCAACTGACTCACTGGCAGCAGGCCAGGAGGCGGCGCGCGCGGAGGCAGTGTGGCCAGACGCTGGCGCCACCCTGGCGGAGCTCTTCCGCAGGTGGCAGGAGAAGGCTGGGGCGGCTGCCGAGCCCTTCCGCCGGCCGCTAGATGCGGGCCCGACCCTCGAGGAGCTGATGCGGGAGTTTCCAGGGTCGCTTCGGGTCTACGTGGGCAGGTTTATGCACAGCGGGCATCGGCCAACTAGACGGGGGCGGCTGCAGCGTGACCTGCTGCCGCTACCCTGTCCTGATCTCGAAGCTTCGGACTTCACCGTGGAGGAGAAGATTGACCCAGGCGACCTGACCTCGCTGCAGTCTCGCTTGAGGGTGATCGTGATGGCTATGAATTGGGAGGCTGGCTACCGTCACCTGAAGTGGGCGGACGTCTGCGGGCTGGAGCCGAACACAGCCCAGCGCTCGGCCCTCCTCGGGATTGCGCGGCGCATCTACTCGAGCGTTGCGCCCGAGCCCGCCATGGCCGAGACCCTCGACTGGTCCGAGAAGCTGAAGGACCGGGCCATCGCGTACGACGGCTCGGAGATCTCCACGCCGAGCAAGATCACGCTGGAGCAGATCGAGGGCGGCCTGCCGCCTGCGGGGGCAGCCGCCTCCATCGAGGCCGCGGACCTCGCCACGGGCTTCGTGCGGGCGGCGCTGCTGGACCCCTCCCTGGTCCTCTTGCCGCCGGCTCAGAGGCGCCCTGCGCCGACCTCGACGCGCGTCTGGGCGACGGCGCAGGAGTGGGAGCAGGTGGTGAGTGCCCTGCTTGCACGCGGGATGGTTGGCCCGATCGACGAGGACGAGATCGCAACCAGAGACGGGGTCCCCTTGATCAACGGGGCCTTCGGCGCGGCGAAGGTGCACGACGCGCCAGTCCGCTGCGGCGATGGCGAGGAGCGGCCCGTCTTTTGGCTCATCGTCAACCTGATCCCCGCGAACGCGTGCCAGCGCGCCATCGCGGGGGACACCCCCGTCATGCCGACGATGGGGCAGCTGAACGGGCTGGTGCTGGCTCCAGGGGAGCAGCTGCTCTGGAGCGGGGCGGACCGCAAGGCGTTCTTCTACGTCTTCAGGGCGCCCCCCGCCTGGTGGCCCTACATGGCGCTGGGACCGCCGGTGCCTCGGCGGCTGGTGGGCGGCAGCGGCGACGGGCTGACCCGCATCGCGCTGAGGGTCATCGGCATGGGCTGGATCAGCGCGGTCGGGGTCACGACGCACCTCCACCGCAACATGCTGAGGCGGTCGGCCCTGGTCCCCCGCGGACTGCCGCCTGCGGCCGAGGTGGTGCGCACCCGCCGCCTGCCTGCGGAGGCCCAGGCAGACGGCATCGCGATGTGGTTCATCTACATCGACAACCTCGAGATCGCGGAGATCGTGTCGAGTGAGGAGGCCGTCAAGTTGAAGGGGGCCATCCCCGAACTGCTGAGCCGGGCGTCGGCCTGCTACGAGGAGGCTAAGTCTCCGGGATCGCCGGGGAAGGATGTCCACCGCGCCCAGCAGGTGTCCACGCTGGGGGACCTCGTGGATGGCGCGGCTGGCGTGCGGCGGCCGCCGCTGGGCTACGTCACGGAGCTCACGAGCCTGACGTTGTGGTTCCTAGCGAAGAAGCGCCCGAGCAGGCGCCTGGCGCAGATCCTGCTGGGGCGCTGGGTTCGCGTGCAGTGCTACCGGAGGCCGCTCGCCGCCGCCTTCGTGAATGCTTGGAAGTGGCTGGCGTCGGGCCGCTCGGGCGGGCTCGTCACTGTGGGCGTCGCCGAGGACCTGCTGATGGCGGCCGCGCTCGCACCGCTCAGCGTGGCGGACATGCGGCTGACCGTCGACCACCTCGTGACGGCGTCCGACGCCTCAGAGGCCGCGGGGGCAATCGTCTACTCCCAGGGGCTGTCGGACATGGGCCGTGCCCTTGGGGCTAGAGGCCCGCGGGCGCTCAACCCCGCCTGCGAGGAGGGCGTCGCTCTGATTTCGGTCTTCTCTGGGATCGACGGGGCGCGCCGGGCCTTCGAGATCCTGGGCCTGGTCCCCGCGGCGCACCTGTCCTTCGAGGTTGTCGCCGAGGCTGTGCGGGTGGCTCGACGAGCGTACCCCAGCACCGTGCACCTGGGAGACGCCACGGTCGCAGACCCTGCGAATCTGGCACGCCTCCTGCGGGGGCCACGGCCGCATCACGAAGGTGCTCGTGATCGGGGGCTTCCCGTGCCAGGGCTTCACGGTGCTGAACGTGGCCCGTGAGGGGAGCGCGGACCCGAGGTCGCAGCCGGTGGGCCACATGTGGAGGCTCATCGAGGGGCTGAGGCGCGAGCTGCCCGAGGCCACGGTGGACTTCCTCGGGGGGAACGCGGCGTCCATGGCGGAGGGCGAGGTCCTGGCCTTGAACAAGATGTTCGGCCGGGTGCCGGTGTCCCTCGACGCCGCGGACCTGGGCTGGGTCCGCCGCCCGCGGCTGTACTGGCTGTCGTGGGACCTGCTGCCCTCCTTCGAGATGACGGCCGAGATGAAGGCGGCGGCGGATGGTGCCCGGCCGCGGGCCTGCCGGGTGCGCCTGGTGACGGAGCTGCCGCCTGTCTCGGAGTGGCTGCCGCGCGGGGCCACCTGGCCCGGGGCCGCCGAGGACGGCCGCCTGCCGACCTTCGTGCGCTGGGCGCCTCGGAGCTCGCCTCGGCCGCGGCCCGCGGGGCTCCGCCAGTGCACGGCGAAGGAGGTGGCGCGCTGGACAGCAGCGGGCTACGCAGCCCCGCCCTACCAGTTCCGGGACTGCTTCTGCCTGCACTGGGCGGATGGGCGCAAGGAGCCGCCGCGGGCAGTGGAGCGCGAGGTGTTGATGGGGTTCAGGCGGGGCCGCGCCGTGCCCTGCATGAGCAGCTCCGCCGCCAAGAGCGACCCCGAGCGCTTCGAGGCCCTGCGGCGGTCGCTCGTGGGCAACTCCTTCCAGTGCGAAGTCGTGGCCTGGCTGCTGAGCCACTGGGCGGTGCACCGCGCGCTGCTGGTGGCGGTGCCGTCCCTGCGGAGCCTCCACGAGAGCTCGAGGAGCTGGTCGATGGGCCGCAAGCTGTGGGCCGGCGACGTGGAGACGCTGCGGTGTGGGCGCGAGGCCGTGTGCGAGGAGAACCTGCACCTGCTGGAGGCGGCTGGCCGCGTGCCTGCGGCTGGTGATGGGCAGCTGCCGCGGGCCGTCTACGTCGGCCGCGGGTCGCGCCGCTGGGGGCTCGCCCCCTCCAAGTGGGGGAACCCGTACCCTGTGGTGCCGGGGCGGGCGGCCGGCGACGCCGTGGCGCTATTCGCGGGTTGGTTGCGCTCCCAGCCCAAGCTCCTGGACCAGCTGGGAGAGTTGGAAGGGGCTCGGCTGCTCTGCCACTGCCCCTCGGGCCAGGCCTGCCACGCGCACGTGCTGCTGGCCGAGCTGGAGCAGCGTGGCAAGGGGTGCGCGCGGCCCTTCCTGGAGCACCAGAGGGTGGTGGCCTCGCTGGTGATGACGTGCCACCACTCGGGCGCTGACCTTCGAGTGGATACCGATGCAGAGACGTATGGCAAGATGTTCCCACGGCAAGAGATCGACGCTGGCATTTGGAAGTGGAAGGTCGCACGCCAGCTCGTTTGGCAGGACCAAGCCAAGCACATCAATGCGTTAGAGTGCGAGGCTGCGTTGATGGCCCTGCGTTGGCGGGCCCGCTCGAGTCTCGCGGCAGATGTGCGTCTTCCTCCACCTGCTCGACAGCATGGTGAATATCGGTGCTCTTGCCAAGCGCCGATCTTCGAGCCAGCAGCTCAACAAGGTAGCGCGCGCTTTTTTTCCATCCTCGAGCTGGCGCTCGGATCGCGGGCTGTCTTTGCCTTCACCTCATCGGCAAAGAACCCTGCGGATGCGCCATCCCGCTTGCCTAAATGGGTAGGAGGCGCACTTCGCCTGAGGAGAGGCGCGCTGCCCGAGCTGCTCTTGGCCGTCTGGCCGACGCGCGCGTGAACACTAGAACACGCAACAAGTACCAGCGCGCATGCCAGCAGTTTCTCGAGCTTTTGAGTGCTATGCATCTCTCTTTGCCAGTCACGTGGGGCGAAGTGGATCTCTGCCTTCAAGATTATCTTGAGTATCTCTGGAGCATCGGTGCCTCGAAGGGACAAGCGAACGACATTTTGTCAGGAGTGCAGCATTTTCTGCGCTCGCGCCGCCAGTATCCTGGAGCTTGGCGCCTCCTCTCGGTGTGGTCACGCCTCGAGGTGCCGAGCCGCGCGCCTCCAATGCTTGCTCGAGTCGCCGCCGCGATGGCGGGCTGGGCGCTCGAGCACAATGAGTTCGCCCTGGCTGCCTGCATTCTGTGAGGCTTCCACCTGTGCCTGAGAACAGGTGAGATCCTTGGGTTGAACCGTGCCCTGGTCCAGGTCGGCCCCCAGGGCCGCGGGGTCGTGAGTCTCCCCTGGGCCAAAACTGCTGCCCAGAAAGGCGCCCGGGAGACCGTCACCATCGACGATCCCTGCATAGGGGCTCGGGTGCACCATGCGCTGTCGCTGGACCCTGCCGGCAAACTTTGGAGCGGCACGCTCCCGTCTTTTCACGCCGCGTTTAAGCGTGCTGCTGCAGGCGTGGGCTGTCGCCGCGCCCGCCTCACTCCGTACAGTCTGCGTCGAGGCGGGGCCACGCGCGAATATCTATCGTCAAAGAATCTTGAGCGTGTCATGTTGCGTGGGCGAGGGGGCTCCATCAGGACAGCCAAGATATATATATATATATATATATATATATATATATCGAAGACGGGCCGCCATCCTTGCCGAATTGCAGTTCAGAGGCGAAACTCAGAGATGGATCGGTCATTACTCGTCCTCTTTTGTCTCTCGGACCAGAGAGGAATTCGGCTGAATAGCCAGGGTGGGGCGGGTGGAAAGGATTGAGCGGCGGCCTCGACTCCCTCTGATCGCTGCCCGGAACGCCGCTGTGCCGACCATTATTGGGTCGACCGTCTGGGTCCCTGGCCGAGCGCGATGAGGCGCGGAGAGAGGAGTCGAGGCCCCCTCAGATCCAAGTCAAAGTGCTATGGCCATGTGGAAAAAGGATGGGGCCCTCTGGAGGCCCCCCTATCCTGTGTGCTTCCGCAACCCCGCCTCCCCCCAACCGCACTTATATAAACGCTTGTGGTAGATAAGTCGGGGGTGGGAGATCAGGGGTGCGGAGATGGCATGGCCGTAAAGAGATTGCATGGCAGTCGCTGTTGCCCACCCTTGGCGACTATTTCAACTTGCTAAGACCCGCATGGATTGAGCGGCGGCCTCGACTCCCTCTGATCGCTGCCCGGAACGCCGCTGTGCCGACCATTATTGGGTCGACCGTCTGGGTCCCTGGCCGAGCGCGATGAGGCGCGGAGAGAGGAGTCGAGGCCCCCTCAGATCCAAGTCAAAGTGCTATGGCCATGTGGAAAAAGGATGGGGCCCTCTGGAGGCCCCCCTATCCTGTGTGCTTCTGCAACCCCGCCTCCCCCCAACCGCATATATATATATATATATATATATATATATATATTTGGGGGGGGGGGGGGGGGGGGACAGCGCGCGCGTGGCGACGGCAAAGCAGAAAGAGGGGGGCCGGCTTCAAGCTACCCCCCTCCCCCCTTCCTTGCTAAATGAGGGGCCTTCAGACCCCCCCCCTCTTCCTCTCTCTTTGGTTCTGGAAAAGGAGGGGGGCTTCGAAGTTCCCCCCCCCCCTCCTTCAATTTCCTGCGCACGAGGTAAATATGCCTGGGATCCCCTTTGCCAAGGGGGGGGTCCCATCCCCCCTCCCTCTTTCTTTTTCTGGAGCCCGAGGTAAGCCAGGGCTCCCCTTCGCCAGAGTGGCGGGGCGCTTCGTGGCGCCTCCAAGCGCTCCCAAACGCTTTCCGGTGCTTCTAGGATCTGCCAGGCGTTCCCAGGCGCTCTCCAGAGCGCTCAAGCGCTCCCGGGCGCTCCCACGCGCTCCCAAGCGCTCCCAAGCGTTAAGCGTTCCCAGGCGCGTCCAGGCGCTCCCAGGCGCTCCCAGGCGCTCCCAGGCGCTCCTAGGCGCTCCCCAGGGATCCCAGGCGTTCCCAAGCGCGCCCAGGCGCTCCCTGGCACCCCCAGGCGCTCTCAAGCGTTCCCAAGCGCTCCCAAGCGCTCCCAGGTGCTACCAGGCGCTCCCAGGCGTTCCCTGGCGCTCCCAGGCGTGTCCCGGCGCTCCCAGGCGCTCCCAGGCGCTCCCAAGCGCTCCCAGGCGCTTCCTGGGCGTTCCTAGGCGCTCCCAGGCGCTCCCTGGCGCTCCCAGGCATTACACAATGTCGCCAGACAAAAGCGAACCGCGTGAGCAATGGAGCCTCAGGCCAAGAGTCTGCTCTTCTGGCGGAGCGCAGCACGGCGTCGGCCTGACAACGTTCCTCACGGAGTTCGGCCGCAGAGGCGCGCGGTCGTAAAATGAGCTCGGCGGACTCGGGCGCTCCCAGGCTCTCCCAGGCGCTCCCACGGCGCCCCAGGAGCCACTGGGGCTCCCGGGAGCCCCAGGCGCCCCCATGCGTTCCACTCCCAGGCGTTCCCAGGCGCTCCCAGAGGGTTCCCAGGCATCCCATGCGCCCCCAGGCGCTCTCAAGCGCGCCGCAGTTTTGGAGGAAGGTTTATATTTTGGCGGCGAACAAGAGGGCCGACGTGAGCAAAAGGATTTCAGGTTAGGGGTCTTCGATTTGGCGGAGCGCAGCACTGGCGTCGGCCTGAGTTTTACCCGCTGGCTCGACTAGCGCTCGCCCCTCGCCGCCGATAGCGTTCGAGGTCGAAAACGCGACCCAACTGGGTCGCGCGTCAGTGTAAGGTTTAAGGTTTACATTCGTTACGTATTAGTGTTTGCGAGGTGTGCTGCGGCTCCCGCGGTCTTGGAAATAGGTTTCTAAGATAAATTATCCCAGTGCGACCCTACCTAGGAGTTGGAGCCTCTAGAAAAAACAACATTAGTAGGAGCGGTAAACGCCGTCCTCCTCCTCCTCATCGTCGTAGTTGTAGCAGTAGCAGTAGCGGTAGTAGTAGTAGTAGTAGTAGTAGTAGTAGTAGTAGTAGTAGTAGTAGTAGTAGTAGAAGGATAATAAGAATAAGTATAAGTATAAGTATACATAGAAGTATACGTATAAGTAAAAGTATACGTATACTTAGAAATATAAGTTGAAGTAGAAGTAGAAGTAGAAGTAAAACTATAAGTATTAGTATTAGTAGTAGTAGTAGTAGTAGTAGTAGTAATAGTAGTTGTAGTAGTGCTATTAGTAGTAGTAGTAGTAGCAGTAGTAGTAGTAGCAGTAGTAGTAGTAGTAGTAGTAGTAGTAATCGCAGTAGTAGTAGTCGCAGTAGTAGTAGTAGTAGTAGTAGTAGTAGTAGTAGTAGTAGTAGTAGTAGTAGTAGTAGTAGTAGTAGTAGTAGTAGTAGTTATAGTAGTAGTAGTAGTAGTAGTAGTAGTAGTAGTAGTAGTAGTAGTAGTAGTAGTAGTAGTAGTAGTAGTAGTAGTAGTAGTAGTAGTAGTAGTAGTGCCAGAACCGCCGACGCCACGCCGTAAGTGAAGCAGCAGCAGAAGCAGGCATCAAGTCGCCGAGAAAGCAGTCGCCGAGACAGCAGCAAAAGCAAGCAGGCACGGAGATGATGCTGTGGATGCTGTGCTGCGCTATGCTATGCTCTGCTCTGCTATGCTGTGCTGTGCTAGGCTAGGCTATGCTATGCTATGATATGCTGCGTTATGCTATGCTGCGCTATGCTATGCTGCGTTATGCTATGCTATGCTTTTGCTTAGCCTTCGCTGTTGCCTTCACTTTTTCCTTCACTTTTGCTTTTGCTTGGCACCCAGGGAGCGCAACTGGGGGAACCGCGCGTTTGCTTTTACCTTTGCTGTTGTTTTTGCTTGGGTCCCAGGGCACTGGTGGAACCGCCCGGGGCGGTGTGCACTGCCCGGCCCGTTTAAGCCAATTATCCCAGTGCGACCCTACCTAGGAGTTGGAGCCTCTAGGAAAGCAACATTAGTAGGAGCGGTAAACGCCCTCCTCCTCCTTCTCCTCATCGTCGTAGTTGTGCTATGCTCTGCTCTGCTCTGCTCTGCTATGCTATGCTATGCTATGATATGCTGCGCAATGCTATGCTGGGCTGGGCTAGGCTAGGCTAGGCTATGATATGCTATGCTGCGCTATGCTATGCTGCGCTATGCTATGCTATGCTATGCTATGCTATGCTTTTGCTTTGCCTTCGCTTTTGCCTTCACTTTTGCCTTTGCTTGTGCTTTTGCTTGGCACCCAGGGAGCGCAACTGGGGGAACCGCGCGTTTGCTTTTACCTTTGCTGTTGCTTTTGCTTGGGTCCCAGGGGGCTGGGGGAACCGCGTGGGGCGGTGTGCACTGCCCGGCCCCTTTAAGCCAACAGAGTAAGAACCCTTCTAGGCAGAGCCTAGGTAGGGAACAGAGTAAGAACCCTTCTAGGCAGAGCCTAGGTAGGGAAAAATTGAGTTCGGACCTACTCGGCGTTGAAAATACGCGTTTCGCGCGTGCCCGCTCGGAGAAAGTGCGCCCCCCACGTCGGATCCTCGTTGCCTAACGAGGTCCGCAGACCCCGGCTTCCCGTCGCAAAGAAACGGTGTGCGGAGCGTTTTGTTCCGTGTTGTTCAGAATCCCATTTCAATAACGTGGTTCGTCGACCCTCAGATTTGATCTTCTCGCTGCGCGAGCGCTCTCCACCGCTCCCGGGCGCTTCCAGGCGCTCCCCGGCGCTCCCAAGCGCCCTCCGGCGCTCCCAGGCGCTCCCAGGCGTCCCCCGGCATTCCCACGCGTTCCCAAGCTTCCCAAACGATCCCAGGAGCTCCCAAGGGATCCCAAGCGTTCCCCGACGCTCCCAGGCGCATTCAGGCGCTCCCAGACGCTCCCAGGCGCTTCGAAGCGCTCCCAAGCGCTCCCCGGCGTTGCCAAGCGCTTCCGGGCGTTCCCAGGCGCTCCCCAGCACGCCCAAGCGTTCCCAAGCGCTTCCAAGCGCTCCCAAGCGTTCCCGGGCGCCCCCACGTGCTGCCAGGCGGTGCCAGGCGCTCCCAGGCGTTCGCCGGCGATCCCAGGCGCTCCCGGGCGCGCCCAGGTCTCCGTAGGCGGCCCCGGACTCTCCCAAGCGTTCCCAGGCGCTCCCAAGCGCTCCCAGGCGCCCCCAGGCGCTCCCAAGCGCTCCCCGGGGCTCCCAGGCGCTCCCAGGCGCTCCCAAGCGGTCACAGGCGCTTTGCAGGTATCCTAGGCGCTCCCCAGAAGGCTTCGCTGGGATCTGCGAGATCGCCACGGAAAGCCCTGGGTCGCCGAGAAGCACCCCGGGCCCTGGGCGGCGGCTCCAGAGGTTCACGATCGTAGGGGTGGCATCGTAAGGGAGGTGAGCGCGAATCAGCCGCAATGTGCGAGAGATCCTGTCTCGGGAGCACGAATCTCACGTGGTTGCACACGTCCTCAGAAAAGATTTTTACTTTGGCGGCGGACAGGAGCGAACCGCGCGGGCAAAAGGGTTCCAAGTTCAGGTTCTTTTTTGACGGAGCGCAGCACTGGCGTCGGCTTGAGTATGCTTGAGTTCCACTTGTTCGCCCCTCGCCACCGATAGCGTTCGAGGTCGAAAGCGCGACCCAAGCGGCAGTTTAGGGTTTCGGGGGGGCGGGGTTGAATTTTCGCAGCTTCATCAGAGGCGCTCAAAGGGAGGCGGGGGGAGCTAAGTTCCCCCTCCCTTTGGGGCAAGGGGGGGGGTAGCCCCTGGGCTGCCAAATTGGGGGGAGAGGTGGGGAAGCTTCGCGGGCCGGGGCACAAAAAAAAACGGGAGGGGGGGCAGCTTCCAACAAGGGCGCCCAACAGTAGGGGGGGCAGCTAAGCCCCCCCTCTTTCGGGAAAGGGGGGACGAGGGGGGTTGTTTCCTAGGGGGGAGGGGGGGGTCCTACAAGGAAGCCTAAATGGAAGAGGGGGTAGCTGAAGCCACGGCCCCGCCTCCTTTGGTCGGTCGCTATGGGCGCGTTTTTTTTGTTGTGTTTCTCTCTCTCTCTCTCTCTCTCTTTCTCTCTCTCTCTCTCTCATGTATATCTATTTATGTGTGTGAGCTATGTGGTTGAAGCTCAGCGCTGTACGCTATGTGGTGTAAGTGTGGTGTGAGTTATTTGCTTTGAGCTATGAGCTGCAAGCTATGTTGGTGCAAGCTGTGTGGTGTCAGCTATTTGGTGCAAGCGTACGGGGCGCCCACGAAGCGCCTACGAGCGGGCACGGACGCCACCGAGGCGAAACCCCAGGAAAGTGAGCATTCTTTTTTTTTTTTTTTGGGCTTTCGGCGGAACGCCCCTCCCCCCCCCCTCCCCCCCCCCCCATAGAGAAGTTCCGGGCTGATTTTGGCACCTGCTTCAATCGATCGGACGAACTACAGGGGCCGGCGCCCCCCCCCCCTCTCCCCCGGTAGAAACTCGAATCGCTGATGTGTGCAACTGTGCGCATTTTATCGTGCTACTCTTCTGGAACCACAACGAAAGGGCTCAGGGGCGCCAGACCCGATCGCCGGGTTTAACCCGCCCAGTGCAATGGGCGTCCACGATCGGGCACGGGCGCCAACGAGGCGAAACCATTTGGAAACTCACACGGAGCACGAGGCGCCCACCCGTCGCCCGCGAGCGGGCACGGGCGCCAAGTTGGCGAAGACCTGGGCAGCACATCGAATTACTTACAAACGCCAGGTCAGGGGGGGAGGAGGGAGCAGGGAGGGAGGGAGGGATTGAGGGAGGGAGGGAGGGGCAGGTAGCGCGGAAGGGAGGGACGGAGGGAGGGCAGGGAGGGGGTGATGATCTAGGCGCAATTTGTGTTTGATGGAAAAGTCGGCACTTGCGGCGGGTTCGCTGCGAAATGGGAAAGATTGTCGCCTGTGGCGGGCTTCCTGAAAAATGTGTTTTCAAGCCGCGCAGACTGCCGACGCCCCCCCCCCCCTCCGCCACCTCACTCTTATTCGCAACTGCGGGGGCCATGGTAGACGCATTCACTCGCAGACATTGCAAGTTCGATGGGTTGAACAAACCAATCGGCGTCGTGGCCGCGGCGCTGATTAGATTGGAAGGGCTGTCGTACTGGGTGCACTCGACGAAAAATAGATGCGCCCCTCGCAAACCGTCGGAATTCAGCTCGGCTTTTCTTGGGTCGGCGCTGCGCCCCCCTTGGCGGCGCCTCCGGCGTCGCTTCTGGTGCGCTCTTTTCGCGCGACGGGAGGCGGGGGTCCGACGCGGACCCAAGATGTTCGTGCGGACCGCCGACCATCTATGTTTGATTATGTACGGTAGGTTTGCGTCGTGTCGACCAGCGGCGACCCCAGCGCGGGCGTTCAAGGTTGAACGCCGCCGGCGACCCAGAATCGATCGATGTTGAACGATTGGACGTTGCGGAAATGGCCGATCGTTCAAGGTTGAACGAACCCTGAGGTGTCAAAAACCAACGCCGGGGTCGACACGACACGAACCTGCCGTAGTTCGCTTGGTCTCGCATGCATCACAAGCCATTACTTTTCTGCTTGGCGCAGGCAACGACGCTTCGCCCTTGCATGGTTGGCAGTGTCCACGGCGAAGCGCAGTTCAGCTGTCCCATGACGTCCATTGAGCGCAGACTCCAGGAGCTGTTCGGGGCCAACGAGGAGATCCGGAAACTGAAAGAAGAGCTCGCA